AAGTACCAGGTAATGTTCTTGCATGGTTCTTAAAGGGGGGGGGCATCTTAGTTCTTTCAAAACACTGAATATTTTGTCTCCAGTCCTTTGAATTCCCATGAATGTTAGGTTTGTCTACAATAGCTGTTTCCCCCTACAATACAGCAATAAACAAACTTCTAAATCCCACTGATTTCAGTGGCAAAGTTAATTACATGCTTCATTCCCCTGAAATCAATGGGTATGCTTAATTTTGGATTGTATCCTGATTTTTTTCAAGGTAAGATAAGACTTAATTGCCTGCAGCTAATAAGTAATAAGGTTGTGCCAGAGCCTGAATAAACGTGAAAGGTAAAATAAAAGCATACAAGGATTTCACATACCTGTCTTGTAAAATTTCAGACTTCACAGAATTATCTATGGACATGATGAAAAGGTTGATGAACCAGGTTAGGGAATACTGGTACATGGGTTCAATATTGGCAAGATCAGCAATTGAAAAAAATAGAATCGATGAATGAACTGCAATGGGGCGGTAGCCCATTCGAGTGGCATCTATCTTCTTTTCAGTTTCTTCCGCTATAGCTTGCTTCTCTGAAATTTCATTAGCCAAAGCCTTAGAAGAAGACAATATCTTGATAGCAGTTTCGTCCTCTAAAATATTTCCTTCAGAAGATGAAAGAACTTCTAAAATTTTGTCCTCTATTTCTTTCAGCTGTCTGTAATAAAATCCCAAATTATTCTGTTACGAAAGTAACAAATGACCAAGTCCGCGAGTAAAAAAAAAAAAAGGATTAGATGCAATTACGGAAGCAAATAGAGTCGTACCTTGGAAGTCGAACGGAATCCGTTCTGGGAGTTCATTTGACTTCCAAAACGTTCGGAAACCAAAGCGCGGCTTCTGATTGGCTGCAGGAAGCTCCTGCAGCCAATCAGAAGCTGCAGAAGCCCCGTTGGACTTTTGGGTTCCAAAGAACATTCGCAAACCGGAACAATCACTTCCAGGTTTGCGGCGGTCGGGAGCCAAAAGATTCGACTCGCAAGGCGTTCGGGATCCAAGGTGCAACTGTAACTATATTGATTAAAAAAACACAGTGGGATAAATTTATAAAATATATGAGGAGTTTTTCTATTGTGAGGGTTTCTAATGAGCTTTCAATAGTCACTTAAAATGATCTCAAATGATTTTTGTCTCAGTCTAAGACAATGTTTCCCAAACCTGGGTCTCTAGCTGCTTTTGAACTACACTTCCTATCATCCCTGATCTGTGGTACCGCTAGCTCCCCAATTTTGAAGGAGGGGTCAGAGGTTTTAAATACTGGTCGCCCAACTTTGAGCGTTCTCTTGGCTGCTTGCACCAGATCACCCGCCCACCCTCCCTGTATTGGGGGGGTTGTTCGCTTGACCTTGCTATGCCTGTCATGGGGTCGTCTGCTTTGAGGCAGGGGCCTGGTAGGAATTTGTCCATTTGGCTGATTGGCTGGTGCCATTTGGTTTTGCCTACTGTGTAGCAAATCGTCACAACTTGTAAGGTTGGCGGTTAGGCATTGGTTCAAATTGGTTGGTGGAGGGGTAAGTGCCTACCCCTCCAATGCTGGTGCGGAAAGGGAATTCCGTTAAAGGAATCCAGGGGCTTGCCATTCTTTTCGTCCTTGTCCCTGGCATCGGACTTGGGCCACCAGGAGCCTGAGGGTGAGAAGTGAGGGACTGAGGCCCAACCTCATTTTCTCCCCAAAATTTGTTTCCCGCACTGGCTTTCGCTGGAATCCGGAAGTCCAGTTCTGTCCCCTGGGCAAGGACAGATAGTCGGAACCAATGCCTAAGCAACCACTCACTTGGATGTATTTAAATAAAGTTGTGGCCAAAATCGTGCCAAAAACCCAAACCAAAATTGATGTGTGATGTGTGAGTTATTGGGGGGTGGCTTGGGGACCTTGACACGCAAGCCTTGCTACATGAGCGGACCTCATTCTACACGTGCAACCACTTAGCTGAATCCCATCCAATGTCTAGTTTGACCCACAAATTGCTATAGCCAGCTGCATTTCATAATGAAACCAGTTAAATCATTTTTTATTTTTTATTTTGGAATGGAAGGCAACTAAAATAGCTTGTCCCAAAACTACCAAAAGATGGATTAAAAGTTAGCTGTCACTGGGAGGAAGTGCAAACTTTGTGGTGGGAGGGGGGGGCATCTCTCTTGGGAGCCAGAGCAACAAAGCAACAAAAAAAGAAATTTTATATGAAAGCACCTCCAATTCACTTTCAAGTGCCTAACACGAGTCATCGTTAGTCTGCTGATAGGGGCAGACAAGTACTTAATCGTAGGTTTATTCTTTAATTATAGAGATTAATTTTTAAGTGGCTTCGGATGCTGAGTGGATTGCATTTTCTTATTTCGGGAGGAATGTCTTCTGGACTATAATTCCACAACCCTCCCACCCCAAATCATCAGATAAATTGTCATTTAAAACTACTGTATTAAGAACAGGCTAAAAAGAGTCCCAATAGACAAACCAGAATTCCATTTGCTCCAGGTAACATTTTTTCTTATTTTCTCCCAAAAATAAAAGGAAAAAGGATCCTGTTCCCTCCCCTCAGTTTTACCAGGGGGCATAAATAGATCCCCTTTTCTCTATTTTGTTCTGAGGGGAAGCAAAGGAAAATGGGGGATACTTTCCAAAACACTCTCTCTCTCTCTCTCTCTCTCTCTCTCTCTGTCTATTATTATTATTTTTAAACCACTGCTTTTTAAAAAAAACAACAACACACGTTTAGGGTTACTCTCATTTTGACTCAAGAAAATCACCATTTTATAGTTCAAATCACAAAAAATAAATACAGTAAATGGACAAAAGTACAAAGTTTCACAAAATGTTTAGGGGTATGTGAACCCCTGTGTACCCCCAGAAAAAAGCACTGGTTTAAACATACACACACACACACACACACACTATATATATATATATATATATATATATATATATATATATTAATAATTAGATTGATTAGATTGTTAAAACCCACCAGGTAGTTTACATAAAATGTAAAATATTCTTAAGATCAACAGACTTTTAAAAAAACCAAGGAGACAGAATAAATCAAAAAACAGATAAAATCAACACTGAAAAAAAAAAAAAGTTTTAATCAATTTACATGTCTGGGTAGACTTGCCTAAACAAAACAATTTTTTTAAGCAGCATCCATTTCATCACAAGATAGTGATGGCACACCCATCTCACAGCCATAAAAAAAGGCCACATGTCTGCAGTCTTTCTGCAAGAAAGCATCCTTTGGATAAGCCATAGTCTGCAAATAACTTTGGCAACAGCTTTAACTAAGAGCATCCACGATTCGATGCCTTCATATTCAACATTAGCCACTTCTCTCCTCTCATCCCTTCTGCTAAAACAAGTTTTCTAGCTAGTAAGATTTCGATACCTTTTGTTTTCAGCTCCTTGCAATATCAGGGCTTGCTTTTCTTCTTCGAGATCAGGTCTCTCCCTTGCGACAACAATCCCGAGAAGCTGGTCTTGCATCCCCTCCGGCGTTATCATGAAGTTTAACAATGTTACCTGCGATTTAAAAAAAAAAAGAATTTTTAAAAACCAAATCGAAACAGGGCTAGGTAAACCGTACGCCAATGCTAATCTAAAGCCCCTGAAATGTAGGCTGTGTGCAAACCATAAATTTAATACACATTTAAAGCACACACACCAAAAGAATCCCAGAAACCAGAGTTCACCCTTCACAGCACTATAATCACCCTTAGCAACTACAGTTTCCAATATTCTTCCAGGGGTGTGTGCTTTAAATATATGGCGTATAAGCAGTGAAACACCTTCTACAGGGAGCATTTGCCAGTTTTCACTGAGTGAAAGCAGTAAAAAGACTGTAATTTTCGCTCCAAGGATTAAGACCAGCCTCTCACAACCTTGAGTCCACAGATGTTCTTGAACTACAACTCCCATCATCCTTGACCACAGGCCATGGTGGCTAGCAATCAGGGCACTGACTTGGGCCCCGGGATACAGGTGCCCAGGTTATGGGAGGCACCGGAAGTCAGGTTCCGAGGTCTCGCAAGGCACCAGAAGTTGCGTCGGGGGCCCTGCAGTGTGGGTTCTGAATACCCACAAGAATTATTTTGTGGGTGCTCGGGCCTGCAGGGTTCCCTATAGGTGGCGCCCCTACTATTAATGATGAGAGTTGTAGGCCAACAATATCTGGGGACCCAAGGTTGAGAAAGGCTGGATTAGACGATGTGTGCTATTTTCATATATGGGCTAATGTGAATAATAATAATAATAATGCTATAAAAAAATTAAAGGTAAAAGCAGCTGATCAGACTAGCATATGCAACCGCGAGGGAGAGCATTGTGGAAAAGATTACAGCGGTACCTCTGGTTGAGAACAGGATCCGTTCCAGAGCCCCGTTCGCAACATGAGCAGAATGCAACCCGCGTCTGCGTGGGTCATGATTCGCCGCTTCTGCGCATGCACGTGACATCATTTTGCGCATCTGCGCATGCACGGGCGGTGAAACCCGGAAGTAACCCTTTCCGGTACTTCCAGGTCACCGCGGGACGCAACCTGAAAATGCACAAGCTGAAGCAAACGTAACAAGAGGTATGACTGCAATCCTATTATTGCAAACGATATGAGCAATCTGATTATTAAAGGGAAAGCAAACAGCTCCATGTTCCTGTGCAAACCACTCACTTTGACAGATGTTTCCGGGAGGTAGTGGGGGTTTCTCAGCTTGGTTGTAATATAAAAGCGAAAGTCGGGAGCGTATTCAATGGTGGAATCGCCCAAACGGATACAGATGCTGCCGGCCTGCTTGAAGGTCTGCTTCAGCAGAAGTGGCTCAAGAATAGGGTCCAGTTCTTCAGCAACATTTTCCAGCAGCACTTCGGTTACAACCAGAAAAAAAGATTTGGTTAATAAACCATTAACTCCCTGGCTTACAATTTGCTAGGAGCAGCAACAAAAGGCGGAGGGGAAATAATGTTCTGGCTGAAGCCTGGGATAGCTCAGTGGGTAGAGCATGAGACTCGCAATCTCAGCGTTGCAGGTTTGAGACCCATGTTGGGCAAAAGATTCCTGCATTGCAAGGGGTTGAGCTAAATGACCCTTGTGGTCCATTCCAATGCTAAAATCTTATGATTCTAAAGGAAGGAAGGAAGGAAGGAAGGAAGGAAGGAAGGAAGGAAGGAAGGAAGGAAGGCAATAATGCAATGGATGGATGGATGTGGATGTAGATGTGGATGCCTGTGGTTGGTGGTTCGGTGTGTTAGCTGTGGACCTATTTGCTAGTGGCATGCTGCTCCCATAACGTGTTTGTACCGTATTTTTCGGCCCATAGGACGCACCGGCCCATAGGACGCACCTAGTTTTTTTTGGGGGGGAATAAAGAAAAAAAACTATTTCCCCCCCAGGTGCGGGGCTGGGGCAGGGGAAGCCCGAGCTTCCCTGACCCCAGCCCCCAGAACAGGCTGCTATCCACTAGCCGTGGGAGAGTTGCGCGGCTCTCCCACGGCTAGCGGAGCGCTGCGCGAAGCCCGAAGCTTGGGGCGTGCTGAGCTCAGCGCGCCCCAAGCTTCTGGGTGCTGGCAAGCTCTCTGCTAGCAGCGGATAGCTTCCTGAAGCCTGGAGAGCGAGAGGGGTCAGTGCGCACCGACCCCCCTCGCTCTCCAGGCTTCAGCGAAAGCCTGCATTCGCCCCATAGGACGAGGGGGAAAAGTGTGTCCTATAGGGCGAAAAATACGGTAATTTCTTTGTTCTTTTGTTTGATTTTGCATGGTTATGGATTTATTTTGCCCCACCTGCCATTGGAATGTGGCCTCCAGGAAGGCTGGCAGCATTCAAATCTGGCACTTGGGGCAGAAAGCGGTTCCTGCATAAAGGTTATTTTTGTGCGCTACTACTGCAGCCCATGTTTGGCTAGCCCAAAAATGGAAGACGAGTGAGGTCCCAACCAAAAAAGAATGGCAACTTAAGTTGACAGAATATGCTCAACTCTCTATAGAATAAGAGAACAAGAAGAATATATGTTCAAAGAAGATTGGAAAACGTTTATTGAATATATGGGAAATAATTGTGTGCTGCTGAAAACGCTGGCAGCATTAAGATAAATTCAACAGTGTAAACAAGTTTTGATAGATGCAAGAATGGAATACTAAATGCTATCTTTTGTAAAATATGCAGGGAATTATGATATGTGAAATGAACCATGGAAAGAGAAGAAGGGAAGTCATTGATAGCTTAAGGATGTAAAACGAGTATTTAAAATTATAAAGCAGAAAACTCAATAAAAATTATATACAAAGAGAGAGAGAGAGAGAGAGAGAGGTTCCTCGGTCCTGAACTAGAGAAGACTAGGCAAAGCTTGTATTTTGAATACCAGGGCAGGGGCTAGCAATTTAATCAGTAGCTCGATAGCATATATTTCTTGACAAATCAGATTGTGACCAAAGCAGTATAAAGAGGACTGTCACATGCCCCGAACGAAATGAAAAACAAGGATTATAAATTAATTTTCAAGTGCAATAAAAGTTCCACAGGTCTGGTGGTACTGCAACCAGAATTTGGTCAACTATAAAAGCAACCCGCAGTTCTGCTTTTACAATTAATCATCCTGCACTCTCCAAGTTCGTTAGCAGTCTCTGCTTTTCAGGGTCTGGTCGCTTACCAGGTGTGCCAAACTGGACACAGTTTTCTAGCGTTCTCACAAATTCTGTGTCGCTGAGTTTGATGACGTGCAAGCTGTTTGCCTTTTCCATGTGCTTCACCCACTTGTTGGCTTGGCCCTGAGGATCGATCATGAGAGGCCATCTTCTCGCGTTTCTGGAGAGAAAGACATGGGAGAGCACAAAACCTTGCGAACAAGGTTTCACCTGTCTTCTGTGCACTGCAACCCTTATGCATGTTTACTGGGAAGTAAAAACGAATGAACCAACCAACCAGAGATGCCTTAGGGAAATGATCCTGCCCCCTTACCAAGTCGGTAGGCTTGTGTGCCCAACAGCAGCATAACTAGATTTGATGGGGCAAGGGTTAGTAGTTATATATATATATATACACCCTGTCCATCTGGCTGGGTTTCCCCAGCCACTCTGGGCAGCTTCCAATGTACTTAAAATACATTAAAAAATCGGTCATTAAAAACTTCCCTAAACAGGGCTGCCTTCAGATGTCTTCTAAAAGTCAGATAGTTGCTTATTTCCTTGACATCTGATGGGAAGGCGTTCCACAGGGCAGGCACTGGGGTGAGTGGGTAGGTACCTTTTTAGTGCAAATGAATTCTTACTACTTTCTCAATAGGGATGATACGCTTGTCAAAACGAAGAACCCATAAATTAATTCTGAGTGAATTAATTAAATTAAATCTGAATGAACCAACATTAATTCCTTTTCACACTTTGTTCCTGTCCCTGTCTCAAAACTTGGGCATGCAGCCGTCTGAGGCCTGGCCATGGGGCAATGTGACCCTCAAACCAAAAAACACTCAGCACCCCTGGTTTAGAGTACAGTGGTAACCTGGTTCTCAAACTTAATCCGTTCTGGAAGTCCGTTCCAAAACCAAAGTATTCCAAAACCAAGGTGGGCTTTCCCATAGAAAGTAATGCAAAATGGATTGATCCGTTCCAGACTTTTAAAAACAACCCCTAAAACAGCAATTTAACACGGATTTTACTATCTAATAAGACCGTTGATCCATAAAATGAAAGCAATAAACAATGTACTGCAGTCACACAATCTATCAGTAGCTGAACTGGGTTCCACACAGTCACCAAAACAAAACAAACCCACGAAAACAAAAACGCAAAATAAATAGCAAAAACAAACAGACCTCAGCATAACATTCAAAACACAAGTGTGGCATTCAAATCAGAAGCGTAACACTCAAAAAGGAGCACGTTCGGCTTCCGAAAAAAGTTCGCAAACCAGAACACTTACTTCCGGGTTTGCGGTGTTTGGGTTCCAAGTTGTTTGAATACCAAGGCGTTTGAGAACCAAGGTACTACTGTATTCCTTCCAGCAGTGGCTGAGATTATATTTTTTTTAAAAAAGCTTTTAAAAAAAAACTATTGAGATTAATGATGTCTGTCTGAAACATCTGCTACTTACGAGATAATAATGCCATTGTCAATGGAAAATGTGTCAGAAGGCAGCCCAGCAATGTTCCAGGCTCGGATTTTAACTGGGTCTCCTAAAGTTGTCGTTAGAGAAAAGTCATCTGAGCAAGGGATGCCTCTTGCCTTCAATGTCAATATCCAGTCCTGCGCTTGGTTCTGCAAGGGAAGGGAGCCAAGTGTTAGCCAAAGTCACCTTCGGCCGCTGCTAGATCTGCATGAGAAGCAATGCCAGTCTCATGGCAGTCCAAAGCGTTAAAGCTCACTGCCAAAGTCTTGTCGCCTTTGGTGACTGCAAGGGCAAGTCTGTGTGTTCCTCCTTACAATTCTAAACAGTATGCTTGCCACCAGTTATTACGGGGACAATACAGAAATCCAAGAGCTACTTCAAAGTAGAGCTCTCACCCAGTTAGAAGAAATCTTAGTCAATTAATCATGGGCATTTCTTTTTTTTTTTTAATAAAATATTTATTGAGGTTTAAACATTGCAAAAAAACCAGAAGAAAACAAAAGAAAAATATGAGCAATAAACGATTACAAAACCTCAAAAACAAAAATAAATACAGTAGTACAAAACATCAACAATACCAAAAAGAAAAAGAAAAGAAAACAAAAACATTAAAAAAAGAAAAACCAAAAAAAGAACAAACTAACATACAAAAGAACCACATATTTTCATATCCTTATCTTTCATTTGCTTATTTCCTCGACTTCCTCACACCTCCTTTTTTGTATTCTAGTTCAATTAAATGTTCCAGCAAGTCCTTTCCCTCTTTCACAAATTTAGTTCCATGTTTTAATTTAACGCAATTTTAGACTTAAATTTACCTCTTTACCCAATTAAGTATCTAGTCATACTTAATTCTTTATAATATTTCTACTAAAGTCATATAACTTCTTTCCAGCATCTTTCTAACATTCATTAATTTTGGAATATTTCTGTAAATAAACTGGCAGAATCCGAGACCAGGGAGAAGAGTCGGTGGAAGAAGATTGGAAAAAATTCAATCTTCTTCCACCGACTCTTCTCCTTGGTCTCGGATTCTGCCAGTCATTTCCGCCAATTCCATGTAGTCCATCAGCCTCATCTGCCATTCTTCCCTGGTAGGTAGGTCTTGTGTCTTCCAGGGCTTTGCAATGAGTATTCTTGCTGCTGTTGTAGCATACATGAAAAAAACTCTGTCCTTCTTTGGCACCAATTGGCCCACCATGCCCAGGAGAAAGGCCTCTGGTTTCTTTAAGAAGGTATATTTAAATACCTTTTTCATTTCATTATAGATCATCTCCCAGAATGCCTTCATCTTTGGGCATGTCCACCAGAGGTGAAAGAAAGTACCTTCAGTTTCATTGCATTTCCAACATTTATTATCAGGCAAGTGATAAATTTTTGCAAGCTTGACTGGTGTTATGTACCACCTGTAAATCATTTTCATTAAATTCTCTTTTAAGGCATTGCATGCCGTAAACTTCATACCAGTGGTCCATAACTGTTCCCAGTCAGCCATCATAATGTTATGTCCAACATCCTGTGCCCATTTAATCATAGCAGATTTCACCATTTCATCCTGAGTATTCCATTTCAATAGCAAGTTATACATTCTTGACAAATTCTTAATTTTAGGGTCTAACAATTCTGTTTCCAGCTTTGATTTTTCCACTTGAAAACCTAATTTTTTGTCCTGATTATATGCCTCCATTATTTGATAATAATGGAACCAATCTCGCACTCTGTTTTTTAATTTTTCAAAGCTCTGTAATTTTAATCTGTCACCCTCTTGTTCCAAGATTTCCCAATACTTCGGCCATTTGGCCTCCATATTGAGTTTTTTCTGGGCCTTTGCCTCCATAGGTGACAGCCATCTTGGGGTTTTGTTTTCTAACAAATCCTTATATCTTATCCAGACATTAAACAGTGCTTTTCTTACAATATGGTTTTTGAACGCTTTGTGTGCTTTGACCT